ACGCCGACCTCCATGCTCAGTTAATACTTTCTGAAAGCCATCAACTGCAAAGATAGATACTAAATGAATATTTCAGCTATTTATACTGGTACATGATAAAGCAGACGTGGTTAGTGCCTTGTGTGAGAGCGTGTACAGTTCGCAGGAGCAGATGGATCACCACAGTCTGGGTAAATTGATGCAGGTGGGAGCGACAAGAGGTTCTGGCAGATACTCAAGGCTCAAAGGAAAGGCAAGACACATGTTTAATCAGAATGCTACTGGAACCATTAGTATCGGAACTCTTCGCTGGCTGCTGAAAATGGGGACGGAGCGCTTATCAGGATGCCCTGAGCGCTGTGATGTCGGTTTTTGAATCAAATCAAACCAAATCAATGCAGCTCTTTATAAATAGTGTTCTAGACTGACTTTCTTCTTCTTCTGAAATTCCATGCCGTATGGCGTTGGTAGTCATGTTTATCCATAACCTTCTGACTCATATATTTTCAGTCAACTCGGACACATAATTCTTCATGCCGTGATGCCAAACTGTCCAGCATCTAGTCTCTCAGTCTCCCTCTGCCTCTCCTCCCCTCCAGTATTCCTACTGTCACGGTGTAGTTTTTCCTTCCAATCACATGACCAAAGAATATAGATTGTCTCTTTCTGATGTGGGCAATTAATTCTCTTCGTGAGTCAGTTTCTTTCCAGACATCTTCACTACGTTTTTTATCTGACTTTATGCTAATTGTAATTGACTTTATGCATGCGTAATCAATCAGCCAACTGATGCAATGTCGTTACTTCAATAAGGAGTCTGCAAATGTAGCTTAACGGTTACTACCGCAGTTCATAATGCAGACATACTGTTGACATAGCGTTGAAATTTACACTGCTGTGACCTTTGTGTGACAGAATAGCAGAATTGGCCAGGCAAATGCAGCTTTTCAGAAGATTAAAAGTATTTTATGTAATAAATCACTCTTATTAAACATCAGAAAACCAGTATTGAAATGTCATATCGAGTCTGTTTTGTTGTATGGCAGTTAATCTTGGAATATGAGCAAACAAATTAAGCAGAGTTTAGAGACCACTCAAATGCGATTCTTGAGAAAACCTTGAACTGCCAGAATAACTAATATTGAATGCCAATAAATGACCAATGAAATTAAAATATTATATGCAACAAAGAGAAGGAGACAAACAAAATTATTTGGTCATGTGATGAGAAAAAGAGCACTGGAAAATATCTTGGCGACTGGAAAGATCATTTGTAGAAGAGGCAGGGGAAGAGAAATGATGGTGGATGGCTTAAGACAGTGGCATGGATGAATATCATCAGTGAATTGATCCAGAACGCCAAAGCCTGAGATATGTGGTGACGCGTGAACGCTTACGCCAGCTGGCAAGGTACTTGATGATGATAATAATGACCGTTGACCGGTTATGGGCATCATGATGTAGCAAGTCCGTGTCAGAACATCGCTCTCATCACAGCCTACCTGAAAGAAACTCTCTCAGGCTCCAATGCCTCGTGAACTTCCCTATCCAGAAGGTCTCTTATAAATGAATAAACAGTCTACTGTATTCGTAAATTGTTTCTGTGATTGTTTTTCCACATATGCTTCGTTAATCTAAATTTCTGTAACCTATGGTGCCATTTCAATAGTTTGAAACGAATTCTGTCCATAGTTGTGGATTTCAAGCTGTACGATAGATACGGCCAATAACACACCTTTTTGTGTGTGTGGAAAAAGGGGGAGGGGTGGAATTCCTAGTTGACCATGTTCTTAGTGCACTTGTATCCATTGCGAGGCGCACACGCCGTCTGGAGATGACAGGTTTCATTCCCGGTACGGTAACTATAGCTTTCGATTTTTATGTTGTCTAGTGTGTTCTTCTATCTTTCTACTTCTTTCTATGAATGCTGATCAATATATTTTCTGATATTTTATTAATATATCTTATATCATGAGGCTTGGTATGACAAAAGCCGCGATGTCCCAGCTGAATACGATGTGAAAGAGTAAAATCAGCATCGCAGTTAAGGTCAATGTTTACAAATCACTAGTGTTGTCTATTTTCTTATACGGATATGAGAGTATGACTCTCACTGTGGAACCTACGAACACACGAACGAGCTTTATTTTCAAAGGGTCATAAATTGGACATGCACATTCGGCCCTTCCAATCACCCATCTTTTACACAGGTGTTGTATTTTACCTATAATGCATGTTATGATCATTGGATGAAATGCACTTAATGAATATCACGACTGAACACAAAAGCATGTGTTGTAAAATGGAAAGGAGGTTTCATGCTTTTGACTGTAAATGTTACAGGCACATTTTATGAATTAATTATTCAAAACACAAAACTAACAAAAATGTCAGAGACCAAATATACAAATTTACAGAATATAAGGATCCTCTCTTGGTTCCGGCACGTAGTGAGACATTCAGTTGCAAAGATTGTACTTCAAGGAACACTGAAGAGTGGTTAAGAGGGGGGGGGGTGTAGTTGTTGTCGAAAAAGAGGAGGGCAAAGAAGAATCTAGAATGGAATAACAACATCATGAAATGGACAGGACTAAGTAATCATCAAGCGGAAGACAAAGATGACAGGTTTTGTGTGTTAGTGCTTCCACGACCCTGAATGGTCAAAGGCTATGTCATGTTTATGTTACATCATGCGCGCACTTTTCGTTCTGGTAGGCTCCTAACATTCTTTTAGCCATACCCTCCATCATTGTTTTCTTTCCAATCCACTTGGTTCTTGATACGGCCAAAGCAGTTCACCTTCCGAAACGAAATGGTTTTTGTTAAACCCGTTTTTACTGAAAAAATACGTGTTAAACACCAGTAAAACAATAGAAACAAAATCAACTTACAAGTAAAAGTGGGCTTTGAATGTTCAGAGAAAATGTTTTCTACATATCTGTAAATAAAGGATGTCTTTCCCACAGTGGTGTCTCCGATTACCAATATCTTCAACAGATCACCAAAAGAAAGTAATTATACAGTGTTATAAAATAGACTATACGGTCAAGTAAAGTAGTTTTAAAATATAATAAATTAAACTATCAACCAATGTGGTGCCGTCTCCACAATAAAGGTTGGCTCTTTCGCTTTGTCCAAATTGTGCACTGGCTCATACCACTCACTGTTCGTCCATTTCTTGATGAATCCGGCCACTTGTAATGTTGAAAGTAAATTAAATTATACAGTCAAGTAACAGTTATGTTACTGAACAGTATACTAAAGTGTACGGTAAAGTATCGCAAACAAAATGGCATTGTTCATGTTTTTTTTAATTCCTAAGTAATTGCTTATGCAATTACATAAAGGCAGAATGGGAATTAAATGGTATGATAGAATAACTAATGTAGAGCTTTGGTAGATAACTAAACGGGCTCCAGTGGACCAAGAGGTGAGGAAAAGACGCTGGCGTTGGATAGGACACACACTGAGAAAACAAGATAACAGCATAACTAGAATGTCTTTGCATTGGAACCCACAGGGGCATAGGAATAAAGGAAGGCCAAAAAACACATAGAGAAGAGAGCTGGAGAATGAAGTTAGAAAGATGGGGAGGACATGATGAGAGCTCCCTGCAATGGCGAAGGATAGAACGACTTGGCGTGAGTTGGTTGTGGGCCTATGCTCCATTGGGTGATAGAAAGGTAGAAGAAGAAGAAGAAGAAAGGCAGAATACATGTCACCTGATTTGTTTTCAATATACAGTGAATATATAATACATCCAGTTTTAACATATGGCTGCGAATCCTGGACAATCGGTAGGCAGGCTAATTTCTTGAGGCCTCAGAGATGTGGTTTTACAGAAGAATGCTTAGAATACATTGGACAGCCAAAAAGAGCAACCAAGAGGTTTTAAAAAATGCGGGGGCCCGAAGACAACTTATCACAGACATCAGAAGGAGACAGTCATCATTTTCCGGCTATGTTATGAGAAGAAGATAAAATAAAACATGTTGTGACCACTGGAAAGATCTGTGGAAGGAGGGATAGAGGAAGACAACGAGAGAAGATGCTTTACAGCTTTGTCGCATGGCATGGAGGTGTGTCGGCACACGAACTGATACATTCTGCAGGAGATCGCAGATTGTGGAGAGGCATGATCTCCCACGCCAGTCGGCAAGACACCTGATGATGATGACAACACTTAGACATGGCAAAGAAAACGCCTATCTTAAAGCAGAGAATAAAAAGTAAATAACTCGTTCTTGAGTATAATGTGCTGGGGGAAGTTGAACGTCATTCAGTCAGTCATCATCAATTAAGTCATGCAAAATTTAAATATATATATATATATATATATATATATATATATATATATATATATATATATATATATATATATATATATATTATCATCAACACCACTCCCCTCCAATGATTATGTTTGGCAGATTATCCAGAAAAATAACGAATTTAGCACCGCATGCAGCAGGGGCCAGCGTAATGGGTCTGCGTCAAGACATGAAAGTTATTCGTTACCTCCGTGCACACTTTGTGTGCAGTCCATGTGACATTCTAATCGTTACTTATCTGTTTAAGATATGAACCTGACTGAAACACCAGGTCGTATGTAGCTGCGCAGTTTGTGTATACGTCACAGTGTAGATAAACCAGTCAGGTTTAACCATGGAAACTTCCGCATTCTCTGCTACCTGAGTTTCTGGTTACTGCGGTCTTTTGGAGAACTATCAATTAATACTTTATTTACTCAGAAAGTTAAAAAAAAAAGGGGGGGGGGGGGGGCGCGGTGCTGCGTGGTCTCGAGGCGTGGTGTCCTCCTCGAGTGCTAGAGGTTGTGGGTTTAATCCCTGGTAAGGGCTGGGATTTGTTCACGTGTACTTGGACTTCTAGTAATTTTCCCTGGTCTCTGGGTAGTGAGATCGGACGCCCGTGTGCATTGTTGCGCACGTAAAAAATCTCTTGGCAGTTAGAAATCGAAAAGAATAGACTAACAGCAAAATGTGGAGTTAAAAATCTACCTA